AACAATGAATCATGGAACACTTCATCTAGAACTAATGATGTAATGTATGGAGATTAACATAAGAATAAAAAAAACCCCTACAGCTAACATAAAAAAAAAAAAAACACGAAGAAGGAGTGGGATGATGAATATCACTGTTTTTCAATCCTTAATGGAGTAATGGATCTAGATATTGTTGACCAGTGACTACTTATATTACAAAAGTAAGAGAACCAGACACTGTTTGCCTTGTTACGGAAGGTTATAGTACCACTTATAAGGAATTCACATCTCCAAGTCAAGCCTTCATCCCATTAGGCCTTTAAATTCAACTACCGGTTTACAGAAAATATAGAAGATAGACAAACATATTATGCTGTGGATGTGTAATTGGTAAAGTCCAGAACATGCGAAACTATAGGACAATCAAGCTGCTTCAACAAATAAGTTGTGAGGAAAAAAAAGTAATCGGAAACTTGTAGGTAAAAAGACAAATGCAATATATAGACCTCATTTGGTTTCTGATTTGTACAGACTGTTAAAGAAAATGAGAGAGAATGAGAATGAACTAATAAATTTAAGAAAATTGCATTCACCCTAGATTTTGGTATTAAAGGATTATTGTTACTGTTTTTGGTATGGTAGTGATAGTGTAGTTATGTATATTTTGAAGACTTTTTATATTTTGGGAAATAGAGAATGCTGAAGTATTTCAGAGGAAATGAACTTTCTGAGATGTGCTTCAAAATTAGCCCATTGATGTGTGTGCCTGTAGGTAGGTATGTGTAAAATAAAATTGTGGATTGTTGATTGTTGAAGCTGGGTGATGAGCAAATGATGGTTCATTATACTATTTTTTTCTTTTTCTGTTCATTATGGAATTTTCCATAGTAATGGTTTTGCTCATTCAGCCTTACGGTAACAGTTTTAAGGAATTATTCCTTCCTCCTGCAACATTGGAAGAAAAAGAAAATATGTACAAAGTCAAATATGTAACATAGTTTTATAGCTACAGAATTCTTTTATTTAAAAATTGTGAAATGTTTCTGAAAACCAGAAAGGATAGCAAATAATATAATGAACACCTGTGTACTGATCACCCAAGAAATAAAGAAATTACAAACACAATGTGTACTATTCCCTAGTAACATCTTTCTCCCTCATCCCGAGATAATTACTATTTTGGATTTGATGGCCATCATTTCCATGCATGTTTTTGTGTGTGAGAGAGTGTGTGTGTGTGTATAATGTTTTCTTAAATATATATATATATTTATATATATACACATGCTAAAGAATATATTGTATTGAATTTGTATATTATAAAGCTGTTAATGATATTATACTGAACATATTAAAGTCTTTTGGGTTTTTTTATACTTGAAGATTTATACATACCAATATATATCTTTATGTCTGTGCTATGCTGGCTCTCTGAAAAATGGGAAATATTGCATTATTTTAAATGGTACATTGGGCCCATTTTTCAAATGTATGCTTAATGTGTATTTTCAAACTTCAGATACCTTTTCAGTTGAAGTAGCTCCAGATTTAAAGCATTTGGCACAGTTAATCTGAAAAAAAGAAAATACTGTTTTTCATGTTTCTAGATATTTATTGTCTGTGCTGTGCCAGCCAATGTTTGAAATATGTTAAAAAAAAAAAAAAAA